TTGGCTTAGAAGATAAAGATGTGTCAGTATTTGCTCTTTTGGCTGTCATAAATCATGATCCCATTAGTTTTAAAGAAGCAATGAGTATGGAAGACAAAGGTAAATGGCTTATAGCAGTTAAAGAAGAGTTGAAATCAATGGAAATAAACAAAGTTTGGAGTCTGGTGGACAGGCCAACAGTCTTGAAGAATGGTAAACGAGCAAATGTTATTGACTCTAGATGGGTATTTAAGAAGAAATTAGATAAATTACATATACTGAACAGAAAAGGTAGGCTCGTTATTAGAGGATTTATGGATAAAAATAATTATGAGCTCAGAGAAACATATGCACCAGTTTCTAAACTGCCGGTTATAAGAGCAGCTCTAGCCATTATAAACAAGATGGATTTAGAAGTCCGCCAGTTAGATGTAAAAACAGCTTTCTTAAACGGTACTTTAGATGAAGATGAAGAAATCTATATGGAAATACCAGAGGGTTTAGAAGTAGATGAATTCACCAGAAAGACTAAAGTTTGTAGATTACATAAGGCACTGTATGGTTTAAAAATAAGTCCCAAGAAGTGGAATGAGCGTTTCACAGAAGTACTAAAACTGGGTTTGCAAAAAGATATTAATGAGCCCTGCTTGTTTACTTATAGATATCAAGGGATTGTTGTTTTTCTAGTCTTGTATGTGGATGACATTATTGCGGCGAGCAATTGTTCTGAGAAATTAAAAGAAATAATAGATCATTTGAGCGGCGTCTTCCAAATGAAAAACTTGGGCGAACCAAAACAGTTTTTAGGCATGACTATAAAGAGAGATAGAAGTAGCAAAATATTGACAATCAATGAAACAGAATATGTTTACAAGGTGTTAGAAAGGTTTGGAATGACTGATTGTAATCCACACGAAACACCTATGATTACTCGACAAGCTAGAAGCAAGAAAATCAATCAAGATCAAGATAAGACTAGAAGAAAATTAGATGTTCCATATAGAGAGGTCATTGGATGTATTTCTTACCTGGCAAATGCCTCACGACCGGATATTTCCTTCGCGGTAAATTTCCTCTCGCGTAAGCAATCTAATCCCACCGAAGAAGATTGGTTAGATGTCAAAAGAGTACTTAGGTATTTAAAGGGAACAGTTGAGTTAGGACTTACATTTAGAGGTGATGGTGATACTTTAAAAGCCTACTCTGATTCAAGTTTTAAAGATTGGCCAGATTCCACTTCCACTAGTGGCATGGTTATTTCATTATATAAAGACACTGTTGCATGGAGAAGTCATAAGCAAACTTTGGTGACTTCTTCAACTTGTGGGTCAGAGTATTTGGCGATGAGTGAAGCATGCAAAGATATCGTTTCGTTAGATAAGGCATTAAGAGATATATTAGGCAACACCATGTAACCAGTTACTCTTTACTGTGATAATCAATCTACCAGAGATTGTACCCAAAAGGAGGGTAGCCATAAACTTAAAGATTTTGATGATACTTTAGAAGAGATTAAGAAACGTCTGGTTGAAAGAGAAAGAATAGGTGTTAAAAGAAAATTGTTCGATACTCATGGGGATTATGTGAAGCAGTGTGCTTTAGAAGGTAAAGTCAGTATTAGAGGGGTATCTACTCATGATAATATTGCTGATATATTTACTAAGCCGCTTCCTCTTCAACCCTTTAGAAAATACAGAAATATATTGCTGACAATCGTAACTGATATATATGTATAAAAAAAAATTCCTTTTGAATTTTTCAGAGGCGGCTGTTATTAATAATGCTGATTGAAAGACGTTGATGATCGAGGTAGATGAATTTAGAAGTATTTAATTTAGAAGAAAAAGTTAAGTTAATTATAAGAAAAAGCTAGTTCCTATTTTTATTTCTGTATTTAGATTTTTGTATTTAGAAGTTTTTCTTTTGTATTTAAAAGTTTTTCTTTGTATTTAGAAGTTCTTCATTTGTATTTAAAAGTTTTTCTTTGTATTTAGAAGTTTTTCGTTTGTATTTAAAAGTTCTTCTTTGTATTTGGAAGTTTTTGTATTTGGACATATGGAATGCAAAGCAAGAGAGGGAGTGTTAAAATCAACTTGCTCGGCATTTCATATGTATGCGCATGCGCGCGCTTTGTGGGAATGTGTGGGTGCTGTGTCTTCAAGGTAAGGCCTGCGAGCCGCCGATTCTTTATACAAGCTAGGAGCTCACTTCTTCTGGAATCGCTTGGCAGTGCGCAGCAATAAAACACCTCTTTTCCTATTGCAACTCGTGTGTATTTTTAATATCCTCCGCCTATATTACAACAGATAGTTGTGCTTGCATTACAAATTTTTTTCGATACAATACCATGCCTCGTTTTGAAGTTATGTATATATTTTGGAGAAGCTTTAAACAGTTTTTCAGACAGTAGCACATTGTCTCTTGCTTCGATGGCCCACCTTTTAATATCTAAACCATGAACACATACTGATTTTTCAATTGTATTTTGAAAGATTTCCAATATTTGTTTTGAAATCTCAAGCAATTATTCGAGCCTACTTCCTCCTTCGTTAATCTGCTTTTTCCATCTGTTCAATTGCTGGACACGTTTCACTAATTTAAATGTATGTTGCACCCTATTAAAATTAACAGGTCTGTCTTTGTTACTAGGCCAAAAATTAACTGCATTTGTTTTGTATTCTAGATCTATGCATATTTTTCTAGATTTGATGCCAAATTTTACATCAATATAATCATCTTCAAACTTTTCTTCAATCATTAAAGGCACCGGAACTTTATTTTCGTTCGAAACCGTTAAAGTATTGTAACTTTCTACAAGCAGATCTGCCTCGATAGCTTCTTTTATTAAATTTTCTAAATTATTTAGAAATTTGTTTTCATCAACTGTAATAATACTATCTATATTATATTCAGGACCATCAAATCTTTGATATAATAGACGTAAAATATGTTTTGGGTTCATTCTTATTATTTTTAAAGAACGATATCCTGGCACGAAAAAAATTAATTAATGACAAAGTACTTTTCTACAAAACTACAATATAAATAATACGAAGAAAACTACAAGTAATATACTTACAAGAAACTTCAAATACCGTAAACTTCTTTAAAGCTTTCAAAATTTTTTTATTTCGACCCAAAGTTGAAAATTGATACAAATAACTGTTTACACTATTTATTGAACTAACTTAATGGAAATGATTATAAAATCTGTTAAACAAACATAAATTATTACTCATTATTAATTAATATTACTTTTTACATTAAATTATGGGAAAGGCGTTTTAACTAGCAGAGTAAATTGCACAAATGTTCGTTATTTGTAAATAAATGAACCTACCGTATCGCGGCTAATATCGATTATCTGTAATAGATTAAATAATATTTGTTTCGATTCCCAATCAAAAAACATCATTCGACACGAAGCAAAATCAATGTAAATATGTATGTTAGGTAATGGTAAAGCTTTTTAAATTGATAATAAAGTGATATATTCAGTATTGCAACAAGAGTTTTCCCGAATAAGTTCTCCCTTACACTATATAATTTATATTACCGGATTTCAGAAAAATATAAATATATATTTAAAACAAACATCAATTTAAAATAATAATAATAATAATATATTTAAATATAAATAAATTTTTTTTTCGTCCAGAATACGATGAACTATCAAATTATTGTACGGCTTATATAAAAGGTAAAAACAAGATATTGTTAAAAATAAGATAATGTTAAAAACTAATTTAAATAAATTTAAATTAAGTGGGTACGAAGATTTTACTTTTTTGCTCAACTGTATAATTTTTGAGAAAAAGAACAATAATAAGAAAAACAGGTTTTTGGAAGATTTTTTATAAACGAACCGACATATTTAATTTTGTATTCAACAGTTTTGAATTTTGAGCCCGGATTCATATTTAGAACACACAAAAACATAAAATACGGTATCTTCGATCTATGCACGAGCTTCGTGGTCGATAACATGGCGTAAGATCGATAGTTTTGAGCGTTAATGAGTTAAGACAATAAATCACTATTTTATGAATCTTAGGTGAGACGGGCAGCTAAAAGTAGTTTAAAGTATCTTGTATACATGTGATATAAGTAATCTGAAAGTTACAGGATAATCGGCGATTAACACTTGGGTAGTGTTACTTGTTAATTAGTTTTTACATAAACTATGTTATTTATCTTAACCTTCTAACGGAGAATTAGCGACCGTTCCCGTCTGGGTAGCTCGCGGCCGTCCGCACAAATTATTTATTCGGGGATTTGGGAAGCAAAAAACGTTCCCACGACTGAATAACGCGTCGAGCCTAAACACATTAAACGCACAGATTCGAAGTCGGTTGAAGCTCTGCAGTGTGACGTCACTAGTGTGCTCCTCGCTGACCGTCTCGCTTGTGTTTGTTGTCTTTGCTGTTTTCCTCTTTCTCGACCTCTCGTTTGCTCCACAATCTTGTTGCCTTATTCTGTTGCTCGCTTGTCGATTGCTGTTGATGTTGTTTCCGCTGTCTCTCTGTTGCTCGTTACTGCAGTAACGTCGGAAACTGCTCGCGCGCGCACCCGCGCACCTCGCCGGTTACCCACACGCACCGGTGCCGGATATCCTTCGGGACACGGCTGGGCGCGACCCAGCCTCACACTGAAATACTCGTCTGCGCACCGGGCGTGTCTCCGAAAACGAACAAACGTCGACGAGGTCGCGTTGTCCAACTCCGGAAAACCGTGACCTTCGGTTCAATACGCGTGCGCGACTTCCTCTGCCCAAAGCCTAGTAGAAACTCTCTCGAATTTCCCGCGATCATCCGCGATTTGAGCGCTTTCTCTTTCTCTCTCTCTCTCGTTCTCTCTCTATCGTCTTCTTTTGCGCCATCTCTATCGCTCCAGCCGTCAACTCAGCCCGTGAATTCGATACAATTACTAATAAAAATGAACGCAGAACAAATATTTACACACACACACTTACTCGCTCGCAGACTAACACACTCTCAAGTATTCATTCACTCATTCATTTCCTAGTCAATATCGCCGTTGTCGTCGTCAATGTCTTCATAATCGTCATCGTTATCGTTGTCACTTCCCTCATCTATCGGGATCGGGCTGTCCAAACATTGCTCAAAAAGGCCGCCGGACTATTGAATACACATGGTAGCTCTACGTTTTACGTCTCGTGTTGTTCTTTCGATGACTTATGGATGAAGATAATCGGTGAAGTTCTCTATTCGTAGATGCAATTCATCAATGTTCTGAGGTAATTCACCATGGTAAATTTCCTCCTTCGATGATCCCCACAAAAAGAAATCGCCAGGATTGTAGACTTGGGGTCTTACAGGCCATTCAATTGAACCATTGCGACCAATTCAGCGTCCACGATATATCTGTACCCAATTCCCATGGTTCCAATTATGAAATTCATAAATTAGGTAGTATGTTAATAGGTTACGTGTTATGTATGGAAATAGCATGCGGGAGTCTAGGTGTGTGAGATCAAATATACAGTATTCGTATCTGCTATAGGCGCGTGCGCGCTTATTTGCTTATGTATGTGTTGCGTGCGTGTTTATGCGTGTATTGCATGTGTGTTATATGTATTGTGTGTAAGTATTACGTGTGTGTGTGTATGAACGTGTATTGCGTAAGTGTGAGTTGGTGTATGGGTGTGTTACATGTACGAGATCTGTTCAAAAAGTACCGCGAATTTTGTATGTTTTCAAAAATTATTTATTTATTCATAAATATCTATTTTATCTCTTTCAAAATAACCCCCCTTGCATATAATGCACTTGTGCCAACATTTTTTCGAATTTTCGAAACACTTAAAAAAATCATTTTTGTGATCTTATTCAGCTCCTCCTTCGATGCCATCTTTATTTCCTCAATCGTGGCGTAGCGTTATCCTTTCATGGGCCTCTTTAGTTTTGGGAACAAGAAAAAGTTACAGGGGTTCAAGTCTGGGGAATACCGTGGCTACAGCATCATTACTATGTTATTTTTGGCCAAATATTCGCGCACAAGCAACGATGTGCGAGCAGGGGCGTTATCATGGTGCAAAGCCAGGTTTTGTTCTTCCAAAAATCCGGACGTTTCTGGCGGATTGCTTCCCGCAAATTGCGCATAACTTGCAGATAAAATTCCTTATTGACCATATAAATAAATTATATAAATATATTATATTTAATTACACATAAATAAATTTTAATATTTAAAATGCATTTCAGATTAGACAGGTAGGGGAAAGAGCCAGGGCTCTCGGTCGTGATCTCAGAGTGGTGATCGATAGCTTATACACTTCAGATCTTTGATCTGAGACTTACCTGATCTGTAGCTTCTCTAGTTTACCTACTTATAGACCGTGGCATAATGCTTTACAAAGCCTCCTAAACCATCGACGGCACCTTTTCCATGATCAGTTGCAGAGAAAATACATTTTTTTAATTTTTATCTCCATATAAAAGCTAAAATCGGACTTGTATACATTTGAAGATATTGGAACGAAAAATGTACAAAAAAATATGAACCAACAACAAAATGGACTTTTCGAGATATATCAACTTTTTTACAAGATGCACTTTTTCGAAAAAGGGCATAATCTGCCAATAAATGCACTTATTTACATTTTTAATTGTATAAATTTGAAAGGTTTACATTGTAATATAAAATGAAAAAGGTTTTCTTTGATTGCAACTAATAATAAACGAATAGCAGAGATTCAAAATTAGTTTTTTTAAATTTAGTTTTCATTTCCCACTTTACAACTAAATTTTTAAAATGCATAATTAGTGTAACTATGCATATGATGAACAAAAGAAAATATATGTTTCTCTTTATTTTTGATATAGAAACATAAAAAATGGTATGGAATGGTTCACTCATGGGTGCCCAATTGGTTCCTCTTAATTTGAGATGGAATCAGTTTATAAAAGAGATCAGTACTAGGTGGCGTATTTGCTCCGATGCTAGGGTAATGTTGGGCATGTTTGCCTAAATTTGTATGAAGATGGTCTAATACAGAAAAGATCATTGAATTAATAGATATTGATAATTCATATTTATTTTTACTTCACAAGAACAGCAACCTTATATCTATGATACAAAGTAAAAAGAGGGGTGCTTGACCTTGGGAAAGGTAGAAACAACAGTCGCTGCTCTCTGTGATTCCTCTGCTGCTAGCAAGATTTGAGGCGATCTCGTTGCCGTTGATGTGGCTACCCTTTATGCTTTCTCCATGATGTTCAGATACTTCTTTTCCTCTACGAAATTTTTAATCTTTCTAGTAGTCCATTTAAATTGTCTGCCTGTTCTCTTTCAACTCTCGACAGTCACTAGCCTACGCAAGTCTGTTCACGCGAGCTCTCCTCCTACTCGTCCGCTCTACCGAAACCGGCAACGTACAGTTGTGCAAATGAGCTTGTTTCGTCTCTCTTTTTCTCGCTATCACTCTCGAAATGTCTCTCCCGCATACTCTCTCTCCGTCGGTCATCGTCGTCCTCAGCGATTCTTGACTTTCTCTAACTTGCTGAAACATACTAACGTCCGAGCATTAGCTCTGCACGTATACAGCTGTATATCGCTGGCTCTAGTGGTGCGGGCCCGAGGAAGAGATAGAGAGACAAACAGACAGACAAATAGAGCCGATGGTTCCATCATACAGACCCCAAGCTCAAACCAGGTAGATGACGAAAGACGGAAAACGTTCCTAGACGTTGCTGCCACATAGCAAACGCCGGAGGTGAATGCCAGAAACCGACAGACACCTGATGAGGGGGGCACCACGCATACCACTCAACAGACTTCTTCGGAGGATGTTGAGATGAGAGTGGAGGTGTCAGAGGACTGGGCCACCATCGTAAAAAGGAAAAAGAAAAGGAACAAGAAAAAGATCGACAACGAGACGGTACAAAAGACGACAGACGGATACAGAAGCCGAGGATCGGAGTGTCCCAACCTGAAAACCTGGCGCGGGACTATTCTGATCAAGCCGGCGGAAGGACGACTGTACGCCGATGTCTTGCGGACTATCAGATAGAAGGTAGACCCCAAGACAGAGAAGGTAGACGTTCGGACGATTAAAAAAACCAAGGACGGTGCTGTATTGATGCGGCTAAAAAAGTCGCAAGGATAGGACTTCCAAAGGACACTTCAGAAAGTATTAGGACAGACTGCGACAGTAAAAGACTTAACTTTCAGGGTGACGCTGGAGTTTGCTGATTTGGACTGCGTCACGACGGTACCGAATATCGCGAACGCGATAAATCGTGAACTTAATATGGACTCGGAACGGAAAGTGCATCTCTTTGCGCCAAACGCATATGGGAATGCGCGAGCCGTTTGCGAGTTCATTGCGACGGAAGCAACGAGACTAATAGGCAAAGAACGCATCAAAATAGGATGGATGAATTGTCGAGTTCGACTTCGCATTCATCCTCAAAGATGCTTCAACTGCCTCGGGTATGGACATACACGGAGAGAATGTAAAGAGCCGGACAGAAAGAACTGCTGCATGAAATACGGACAGACAGGTCACGTGGACAAGGAGTGTAAAAACACTACTGACTGCTTCCTCTGTAAGGGGATAGAAGGACAGAAACAGAAAAAATGATCTTGACGATACTACAATGCAATGTGAACAGGAGTAGCGTAGCACACATGCTCCTTCCTCAAATTGCGACGGAGACGAACGCAGACGTGCTTGTTATAAGCGAACAATACAAGAAGAGACCTGAGCCATCGTGGTTCGCTAGCAAATTGAACACGACGGCGGTGTGGGTGGGTACGTGGAAACGAAGCGATGCGAGTCTCGGCAAGCGGATCCGGGGCGGACTATGTTTGGGTGAGGGTGGGCACTGTTGTTATCGTCAGGCGGTTGCGATCACGACGCTCTCAGGAAGCTCGATTATAATCCGCTTAGCAAAATATAGATGATGCACATAGTGCACCATATGGCTAGCCGCGAGGCTGGCCAGGTCACTTTGTGCAAAAATCTTCTGTCAAAGCGGCGGACAGTAATTGTCTTCCTCAACAGAGAGTGGAGACTTCTCAAAAAAACAACTTGTTGTTTTGGGAGAGGATGTCGTAAACTTCTCTTACCTGTACGGGCATAAGCAAATGCAAATGCGTCACCGATTGCCCTCGACAAGCAATTAATGCTAGTCGACCCGAAGTGAATGCAATGTACATTTGAACGAATACTTGCAATCACAAGTGCGGATGTGTGTACCTTCATGTGGTGGGGCTGAAAACGCTGTTTCTGTAAAGAAACAGTAGGCAAAACACACAACGCTCGCCCATAGGGCAAAAGGCCAGTTGGCCAAATGAAAATAAACAACACGGACCATGACAGCACGTGGTGGGGTGCGGCCCGTAAACGCCCAAATATTCAACGCGGAGTCTACCACACCCCAAGAGCTCAACTCGAGCCCAGAAAAGCCAAAATCCGGGAGTCACTTGAGGGGAAATCTCTTGGGATTGTGGTACCGCGCGCCCTCTTAGAGGACGGGGGACCGCTCCGGGAGCTAGTTGCAGAGGACCAATGGTCCCGGCAATCCCAATTTAATTCGTGTATATAAGAAATTACTCCCTATCGACTGACAATCGGTAGGTGCCACTATTGTGGGTAAAGAGTCGTGACCGTGGTCATAGCAGCCACCCAAAATTCTTTGCCTCGAGCTCCGGGAGTAAGGCCCGACACCTTTGTGTGAGAAAACACAATTTGAACACTAATCTTGAACGCTAAAACACCTGATTTGAGCCTGGATCTCGGAAATTGATTTGAATGAGTGGCATGACTGGCACGAATATTGAAAACTGCCTGGGCAGTCGCCTTGTCGGCTAGGCGAGACCCCGCCCCTGACCCAAGTCAGAAAATTAATCGAAAGAGCAGAGATCAATATCAGCGAGTCATAAAAGCCTTCCATGGAAAGCGAAATCCGAGACTCGGGCAAAAATCAGAACACAATCTTTTCGAATAAGGGACACCTACCAGCGTGAGCGGAGATGACCGAAACGCAATGGGAAGACGTGCCTCGGTACGTCGAAGCGATGGACCTGTGAGTCGTGGGAGAAATCCTTTAATACAGGTACGCAGGGTGGGATGTTCTTCGAACGCCAGCCCAGGAGGGGAGGCTTAGTTGGT